ACCCAAAACGAAAAAAGAAAAAGCGAAGCCTGAAACTTTCAGACAAGGAAAGACACCTGCACTACCATATTATTTTAAGTTCCTTAAAGCAGTCAGCTTAAAGGTTCTACAAGACCAAAACATTTGAACAATCTTAACACTTCATTTAGGTGAAGTTACACCATGTTAGATTAACGTGTGAGACCTAAACTCCTGGACGGAGGGTGCACCAAATGCCTCTGCCCATCCCTTAGATGGATAGAGAGGTTGGGGAGCTTTTGGTTTCTCCATGTTGTCAAAGAGTTCCGGTGGGTAAGAACAAATAGGTTTCAGGATAATAAAAGGAGGTGTTACTGCATGGTGAGAAGTGGGTGCTCAAACTCTGAAACACACATGGAAAGGTTTTCACTGATTTGTATTACACATTCGCTCTATTAAGATTTATTTTGGCTCAGTATCTTATACTTAAGATGCTTGAGACAGCTCATGAACTGTGTTTTGTTAAGATGTACACCGAAAAAAGGTAATGATAAGTTGACATAAGGATTAAGGGTGAACTTGTATGGTTTGAACATCAGAAGCACACTTTTTTTTTTTCCTTAACACGAATTCTAACTTACCCCTTGTTTGGACCTATTTAATTTATCAACATACTAAAACCTTGTTTGAGAAAAATTACATTACATTACATTACATTCTATTTTTCTCTCTCCTATTTTCAACCACACAATCTTCCATAAAATAATATTACACGTAAATCGAAAATTTTTCTTTCTTTTTCAACCACTCATTTTTCAAAAAACACTATTCTATACATTAAATTTTCCCCGTAATGGGGGCCAAACAGGGGCTAAGTCAAACCTACTTCTTTATCAACAGCTTTAGTATAAACCACGAGTACTACCTATTTATCCACCATTCATTTCTATTTATTTATAATTTAAATCGATTATAACATATTCCCAAATAAGCGCTGAATGTGTTCCTTTTGTCTAATTATCTATACTATGTGACGTTCGTACTGTATTCTAACTTGAAATCTTAATGGTTCTTCATTTGATTTTTCATACTTATATTCTTGATTAGCAAGTGTTCTCTGAGATTTATTGTTTACAATCTCGCTGTTAATATACCATGAACCACCACCCCAACCCCAAACAATAAAAGGAGGTTTTTGACCAAGAACATCACTGGAACATATGGTGTAAGGCAGTGGAGTTATTGCGTAAACTTTCTGTATCTAATTTCTGTGCCAATCGCTGAGAGAACCGAAAACCTTATCAGGTTAACCCATGGTTTCCAACAGAAGTGGACAGAATGATTTGGTCAACAAAAAATAAGAATGTTTAATGACATCCAACAGAAGGTATTTAGAGATGCAGGACATTCGACATCTCTTAAATGATAAGTTTATCAGTGGCAAAAGAGCATTAATCTTTTGGGCATCGTGGCTTTTGGTCAGTCAGTCTTCTAACTTCTTTCTGAGAAATGCCATTCCCTTATCTTGGGTCCGAAGCTACACCTTCCTGGAAAGGTCATACTCCCCGAATAAACAATAAAGAATTGATTCATAAACCGACCATGGTTTCGTGTCCTCTTGACCGTTCTCAATTCAGTCCTAGTAAGCCTCTTGCTTATCCCCCTATCCCTTATGGTTGAGCTACTTTTTTTATGTATATAAAATCATTCTTCCCCAAATTAAGGAATCCAGATCATGTTGGACTATTGGGAACTAGATAACAAAAGTTATTTTACAGAAACACTTCTATCACAAGAAAATAATCTGAAGGATGCAACAAAGCTGAAATAGGACTTCAACACTGCAGGGCTGTGTTTAAAAGATGTCCAGCCATTTCTGTGACTTCTTTCTGCCAGCTAGTCATATTTTGACATTTGTAGCAGAATCTACAAGGCAGAAAAACTATTCTCGCCTTTCCAAAAGGAAAAGGCTGAAGAATTATTCTCTTGCATTAACTGGCGAACTAAAATGAAAAGGAATGCAAAAGCTTCTAGTAAAAGAACAATACAGCTAAAATTTAAAATGCATTATTCCGTTTCTTGTTGGATTCCTGTTCAAATATTCCTCTAAAGTTCGCTTATATCTTACTCGTCACATAGAAAGGCATACAAGCACTAACTTTGGTTAAAGGCAAGTATCATCTTAGCATTGCCTCAGATATAGTAAATAAGTAACGCTCGACGCCATTCTCTTCCTAACAAAGATGGTTTCTATCCCATAGTGGAACACCCAGAAATAGCATACTTCTAAAAAATTTGGCAAACTAGCAATAGAAAATTACTGCCAAATGTATTCACTCAACACAAGCCACAGGCATTAAGGGGAAAAGGTGTGGATCATTCATGTTCGGTAATGGACACATATTCAGGACAACACAAACAATAAGACAGCCCATGCCAAGGGTAATACGTATTCAGGATAGTGGGCTCACATTTATTAGCAATCAGCTGTAGACTACAATATCGGGTCAGAAATGACCGAAGGAATGGAGTAATAGTTTATAGTCCATGACAACAACACATATATAGATAATATGCCTAGTAAAAAGAAGAAAAGGGTCGAAATGCTCACCGAACCAATTGCAGATTAATATATCGAGGACAATGCTATCCCACCAGCATTCGTTGAAGTTAGGTAACATGTGGCGAAAGGTTAGCTGAAAGCATGGGTATAAAAATTATTAATGTATGAAAGGTATCTATCTTTAGCATTAGCTTAAACGAAAAACAGGGCAACAAAATAGAAAACAAGGAAAAGGAACTAAGACAGACCTCCATTAACTCGAATCCAATTGACAGCACCCATAAGAGAGGCTGATTACGTATCATTATAGCTTTTCCCCACCACCCAAGAATATGAGCAAGAACAAACTCATCGAAAAGTGTATCCTGCAAAATTAAAATAATCATAAGAGGAATTCAGCCCCATTAACACAGTTATTAAGAACATACAACACAGAACATGAAAGACTTGCAGAAAAATTAAAAATAACAAGGAAAAGGTTTATGAAAGTAGAAATCATACATAAACATTCTTAAACCTGTTTGTAGGATTTTCAGGTACATAAATTCGGCAATCAGCACCATATGATCTTTCAGGAAGCTCTGCATCAAAAAATACACAATTATGACCACCAATTGTCTTAACACAAATGATAATTGTCTTAGGACAAATGCCGTGCATTGGCACCATCAAATATGAAATCCATGTTGGTTGAACAAGCAGAAATTCCAAATTTCTTACCAATGCCAAGATCAGGATGGAGGTATTTCATGAATTGCTGAGCATGATCACGCTTCTGGAAATAGAAGGGAATGTCAGAAACTTAATCAGCATCTACTGGTCATGGCAATTAACCAATGATTTATCATGAAGTAAGATTCTTAAAAGAACTGACCCCAAAGATTATCCCAAATCAGTTCCATAGAGTACACACACACACACACACACACAACCATAGGAAGGAAAAAAGAGGAATGATCAGCATCCACTATAATATGGTACAAATATCATAAACAGAGCAGTGACCACTCAAAAAATCTCTCAATTATCCCACTTAAGTTTTAGAAGATCTTTCTAATATACACAAGTCTATAATTTCATATAACAGCAACCAACAAAGACTGGGAGCTCTTGCATAATAACTTTAACCTCATCACGACGAGAAACTCAGTATGCTAAATCAATGACTTCAGTTTCTAAAGATAACTTCTATAATTTTTCATTTAACAAGGAAAAAAGGGAAATTTTACCACCAATTGAATCCTTAGACATCACTCCAGTCCACAGGAAAAAGGAAACTCAATATATGCGGCTTGGAAGAAATGAATAAATAAGGGCTTGCTGAAAAATGAAACTGACCTGAAATAGCAGAAATGTCAATGCAACAAGGTATATAACAGCCAATCCATGAACCAGGCGCCAAATTGCAGGATGTGGCCTGATTAGTACCCTGTACACAAAAAATGACCAAAACCTTAGGTAAAGAGAAATGAAAATACATAGCCTGTGTTTGACATCCATTTTTCCGAAAACTCATTTTTTCCTAAACTCATTTTCAACCATACATTCTCGTACATACACCCAAAACTTTCCTTATTTTCTAATGACACATTCTCCAAAAAAAATCACTATGCTAAACACATTTTCCCCCAAAAGTGGGGCTCAAACATGCGGATAAACAGCTAAGTAGGTCAATAGGGAACTTTAAGCATCCACTTGAAATTTTCAAGTTCAACCAAGCTATTTTGAAAATTTCAAGTGGATGAATAAGTAAACAATTGAATTAAATTCGATTGCAAAGAATCTCTTTTTAGTTACTTTGGAACAATCAGGAGATTCTCTAGAAGAAATAAGGGGTTCTGCCATTGGCGACAACATGCTTGGTCCCACTTATGTAATGGAAAGTTTCATTATTCTCACTTCATCCCCATTCTTGCTCCCGCGTGAAGAGAGACGAAGTTACCATGTTGTAATGTGTTCCTCACATTATACCAGCTTTAACCACAACTATTATATTCGAAACTGCTACATACATAAATCTATTGGGGCTCAAATAGTGGCAATTTTAATTTTTTAATTATTTATTTATTTATTTTTTCAATCTTCCGTGCAACATTAGAAGGAAATAAGTTGGGACAGCTACTCCATTTTAGAGTAACAACAAATGAATAAAAATGAAAGGGAAGAACTGGCAACAATGATAGAAACAAAGACCATATACATAAAGAAATTGATAATCAGTACAACGATAAGAAACAAAAAGTAAATCATTGAAACATCTCTAACCACGTACATCCACTAATGCTCAGCTGCTAAAGAACCCACGAGATGATGATATTCCGGCATTTATTTGCTTTCCCCATATCACATTAATTTCTGAACCTCGCATAGAATGAATTCTGAACCATGTCCATATTTGGCTTGGATGAGTATATGAATCACAGATTCTCACTCCAAACCTATCCTATGTGTTCTCACTTTGTGCGTATGAAGGAGAAATTTATGAAAACAGCTACTAACAATCCTATTGCTAAGCATAGAAGGAAAATTGTATATATTCAAATGCCAAATCTTGATATTTGACGATTAGCTGGACAGCCATGGATAAGTGTGGTACAAGGCCTTATTCTGTTGAGTTAAGCAATGAGATAAGCTTAGAGAATGTATCTTGCTTCAAGTTCTATGTAATCTAAAAACATAAGAAATCATTATCTCAAACCAATAACCAAAAATACTTAACAGTGACAGCATAAAAAAGGTGCCTCCAAGGCCAATATATAATCATTTGTTCAGAGAGACGGTAAGAAAGAAAATAACTTACGTAGAAGGAGCTTGCAACAAGCAGTAAGCAAGAAACACGGCAATCATTGCCCATATACCTCTATCAGATGCAATAAATAAGTTATTAGATTTTTTACGAAAATTAAATGCACAAAGCAATGGAAAGAATGCATAACACATTAATAAGCAAGTGTACACCTTTTCACAGAAGTAACTAGATCACTAGTTGAACTGCGTTCAGGATCAAGTGCTCCACTTGCCCATCTACAAAGAATGTCAGGATACAGAAGATTAGTAAATGAGGCTAAACGTTTCAATACTGATGCCAAATGTTTCGACGAGGCCTCGTGTCGTTTTTTTTTAAATAAAATGAATATTTATATTTTGAAATAATGAACAAGTGTAATCAATTAAAGATAATATAAAACCACAAGAAAATTCCTTACAGTATAGTGCAGAATAGTAATCGATCCTTTAGTGAACGGTCATAAATAATTAGTTGAAATGCAATACAGAAACAAAATGCTCAGAGACTAAACAACTTACATCAGTAAACATGCACCAATAAGTAATAACGTAATTGTACGAGGCCTATACGCCCAGGCAGTCCAGGGATCAAGTTCATCTTCGATGTCTGATGTGTTCACATCACCATTTTGATGAGTGACAGTATCCTTCCATCTAGCTCTCCTATGAGCATTACGTTCCATAGTCTAAGAGATCAACTTCCACTGCAGATCAAGAGATGGAACAAATGAGACTTCTGAGGGTTGTAATATGGTATCATTAAGAAAAAGCGAAGCAACAAAACTTATGCTTTCCAGTAAGAAGGAAAAACAGTCAGTAACAAGAAACTAAGTTAATGGATATGCCATTATTACTAGGCTACATCACTAAAAGGCAGGCAAAATGTTAGTGGCCAGAAAGCAATGCTTTATACCCCGGATCAAAAATGCAGTAAAGAGATTGTCCATGGTGACCAACCAAAATTAAAAGATATTTTCGCTAAAAAACATCGTGTTAAATAGCACAACAATAAACTCTCCTCATCTAAGGCATTAAAGCATTATCCAAAGAGACAGACAAAGTAAAGCCCAGTAAGCTAAGTAGCATAACAAGCATATCACATTGTGAGGCCTCGAATGAATCTGTCACTATGACCCTCAAGTCCAACAACAAAAATTTAAATCTACAGTCCAAGGAAAAAGGCAAAAATAAGTGTAGAATCTAGTCATCTGTAAGGACAGTAATCACAACCCAACTTCCTCTCAGATACTATAAGGTAAAAAATATATGACCCATTAAGAAGAAGTTCTGGTGTAACATAAAGGTACTCTAACAAGTTAACCAGTATTGATACATCACGTAGCCAAGAACAAAACTCAGTCACATTTTCAACTTTTGCTGGGTAATCCTATGCATCAAATCCACACAATAAAATTGCTCTACTCTAACTCTGAAGAGTTCTAATAGTTTCTGAAGCTTTCCCATCATTTAATATGTAATTGATACTACCTCATAATTAAGGACGAGAAAAAAATCACTTGACACACAACAGACATAAAAATATTGAACCCAAATACAAATAATCCCCTTATCAAAAGATTTGAAACATACTTGAAGAAAATCGATAGTAACTAATAACAGTGTGGCTGAAAAGAAGAAAAGTTACTAGATTTGATTAATTTTTCTTTTTTTTTTTTTCTTTTTTTTTTTTTTTTTTAAATTTCAAGAAAGTCACATGGAATGATGATGGTGCGACACAGCATTTCCAACACTTAACAGCTTCAAAAACCCTAATTACCATTTCATTAATGCTCAACAGTGAAAACGCTGTAGAATCTAGAAACAGTACTCCCAAAGTTTCAAAAATCTGAATAAAAAGAATACCTGACTAGAAAAAATAAATAAATAAATCCAACTGCAAGAATAAGATTGAGGTCACTATCAGCCACAAAATCAATAAAAACCTAGAAAATTTAGGAAAATTTCATTTCTTAACATGCAAACAAAACATCCCCTAGAACTTGAAAGTCCTTTTCCAATTGAAAAGTCGATGAATTTGTGAAAATTATGCTGACCCAGAATTCAAAACTCACCAAATAACACGTGCACTTCATGCAAAAAAATCGCAGATTCCCAGAATAAGGGGAAAAAATCCAAACCCGACAAAGTCTTTGTAAAGAGTGAGAGACCTATAAACTCCGATTATGTAATTTATAACCATACATATATACACTTTTACATATGTATATACATTATAACATATATTTGTCTTTGTTTGTGCACAAATAAAAAGAATATTTAAAAAAAATTATTTGGAGAGAGAGAGAGTAAAAAGATCGATGTAAGTGTTTGGAATTTGTTTCGTTTCAACTTACGTAGAGAAAGGCTGACAAGCGATCCCAGGCCACGAGATTAGATGACGAAACAATCTCAACCACCAGATCAGACACAGATATACGTATAGTGAGAGAAAAGAAAGTATTATCAGTTATCGAAGAAGAAGAAAGGCGAAGGTAATAACAGCTGAAACTAAAAGATAACTCTCACACTCTCTCTATATAACTATTCCTCTATCTCTCTCTGTGTGTATATATATACACAGGTGTCTTATAAGACCTAAAGCTTTATGCTCTTCTATAAATGTGAATTAGAGCAAAAAAGCGAGGGAAAGAAAGAGATAGGTCTCTATTTTTTTTT